GGACGAGGGACAGGTTTTTAACTCCCTTCTAAAGAGTCGGGAATTTGGGGCAAGGGCAGGGGAAGGTGCTGAAGTGGGTAAAAAGCTGATCCATGTCCCGCCTGAGGTTGGGGGGGGGGCAGGGTGAATTAGTATCAGGCTGATTTCAGGGTGACTCTGGTACCTTCATGGAGACGTGTGGGATTATGGGCGCAGGAAGATTCTGGAATCGTGTGACAGGGTGTGGGCTCAGGAATGTGTGAGCGTATCTGTCTGCCATGTGCGCGTTTGTGTGTGTGAACACCTTCCCTCCTCTCACCCTCTATCTCTCCCCCCACAGATGTGATGGACCAGCCCAGTCTGTGGCCCCCTGTTTACGGGCCCCGGGTCCCCGCCTCTCACATGCAGCACCCTGCTGTGTACTCTCGCTCCCAGTTTCTACGGCAACAGGAGCTGTACGCTCTGCAGCAGCAACAGCAGCAGCAGCACCGGACGACGCAGGTCACAGAGCTGCAGCACCGGAGCGGCCACAGCCAGGTGCCACGCAGATGCACACACACACACACACACACACACACACACACAGAGACACAGACATGCACACACACACACACCGACATGCACACACACACACACACAGACACACACAGAGACACAGACATGCACACAAACACACACACAGACACACACACAGACATGCACACACACACACACACACACACACAGAGACACAGACATGCACACACACACACACAGACATACACAGAGACACAGACATGCACACAAACACACACAGACACACACACACACACACACAAACATGCACACACACACACACACACACAGACACAGACATGCACACACACACACACACACACACACACACATGCACCTTCCCAGCCGTCTCTGCTGCTGCCCCCAGACACACATCATCATCTTCCTTTCTTTTTTTTTTTCTCTTTTCCCTGTTTTTGTTATTCTGTAGAAATGATGCTGGATTGTATCACAACACACCCATGTACAGCGCTTTGGGCCGACTCTGTCGTGAAAGGCGCTATATAAAAATGAATTGAATTTAACTGTGGACTGGCAGTTATGGCCCAGTAGCGGTTCCCCGTACATCTTAATGGCTCTTCTCCCGTGGAACGAGGCTGTTGGCATGCGAGTAGCCCAAGGTGCACATCAGCTGGCGGCCTCACTGGCGCCCCCTCCAGCCCACCGGTCTCCATGCGGCATAACCGAGAGAGAAAGCATAAACAAATAAGACACACATTGCAGCTGTGGTTTTTCTGGTGGGAGGGGCTGACTGCCAGACAGCAGCGAGTCGTTAGGAAGATGTATGCTGATCCTTTGGGCTTATGCACGCGTCTTCTCCGGGGAATGCTGATGTTCCGGAAGGCCCATTAAGACAGAGCACCGGTCCTAGAGCACCAACAGCAGCCTGGGAGGGGGCCCTGAGCCCCAGGGCATTCCCAAGGAGGCCTTTGTATGGAACGTTTTCTCATCTCTAACTTTTGGTTCCCTATGATACACAGAGGAAGATGGGGGACCCTCATGTGGAGGTGGACGACCTGCTGTCAGAGCCCAGGACCCCCAAACCCACCAAGCCCTTCTCCCTCACCCCTTCCAGCAAGAGTGCCCCCTCCCCCGGCTCCTGTGCCTCCCGCCTCTCCCCGTGCTGTGCCTCGCCCTCCCTGCACCCCCACGGCAAAGCAGCGGCCGCCACCCCCCGCTCTCCTGCCCTCAGCCCCACCCCATCTCACCTGTCGAAGGGAGTGGAATCCCAGGACAAGCGTGGCAAAGGGCAGCCCCCCCAAGACTACCCAGAATCCCTGGAACCTGGTGAGTGAACCACACACAAGCAGACACAGACTGAGTGCTTTAGCGTAGTCTCCCTAAGGCTTGTGTCAATAGCTGTAGCATGTGTGAGTTGCTGTTGGTTGTGTGTGTGCTAGCGTAGCCTAACTAGGGCTTGTGTGAGTTGCTGTTAGTTGTGTGTGTGCTAGCGTAGCCTCCCTAAGGCCTGTGTGAGTTGCTGTTGGTTGTGTGTGTGCTAGCGTAGCCTCCCTAGGTCTCCTGTCAGTAGCTATTGCACTTGCATGTTAGCGTAGCCTCCCTAGGGCTCGTGAGAGTTGCTGTTGGTGGTATGTGGATGTTAGCATAGTCTCCCTAGGGCTCATGTGAGTTGTGCATCTTGCTCTTTTTACTGTGTAAGTGACCTCAGTGACAGCTAGCCTGGCTTTCCAAGTCTGTCACCTCCGTAACGACTCAAACACCCCGCCCGCCCAACCAAAACACATCAGCCACATTTCTAATCAGGCACATTTGTGAAAGCTGGCAGGGAGAGAAGAGGCCTCTCGCATCCAGCCTACGCTGTGACACCATTAAAAAGGAGCTGTTTCCCTTCAAATCACACCTTTGGTGGCGCCATTGGAAGTCCAATGCCCCGCCCACTTGCCTGCCTAGGCCCTGCCCACTTACCCACCCAGACTCCGCCCCTCATTACACTGGGTCTGCCTACCCACCCTACAGGGAAATTAAAAACTGGAGAAAAAGAGTGGCTGAGATATTTCTGTGCTGCTCTCAAGGTTAGACCGGTGGGGGGGGGGGGGGGGAAGTGAGGAAGATAAGAAAGGGAAAGTCTGTCTTTGATTCAGAGCGAGAGAAAGGCAGTAATGAAAAGACTGGGATGGTGTGGCGCATGTAGTTCTGTTTGGTGTATGTGTGTGTGGGTTTAACACTGCCACTACACGAGCGGAAGGATACGCATTCATCTGGCAGTGTTGTTTGACTGAGGGTGGGGCGCATGAATACCATCAATAACACGGCTTTGGTGGTGACATGGTGCCTGCAATCACACATACACAGCATAGTGTCATCAATGTCCAGCTCAGCTTCAGTAAACACACGCACACGCACACGCACACGCACACACACAGAGCCAAAGTGCATAGTAAGTGGCATCCTGCAGAATGTACCCAGATCCTTAAAACCCCTCTCTGCTCAGTGTTCAGTGTTAATTGTTGATTAATTCATTCTCATAGATTTTAGAAAAAAAAATCAATTTTCTATTTACCTCTAAATAGTTGTGATGCTTTTCATTAATACCAGTGACGCGCATGATTAAACGGTTAAATATGTCCTTCAGCTTGTTCCTGACAACACAGTGAGCTTCCAGAAACCCCCCCCCCCACTGCATGAAGAGTTCAGGTGCCTGGGAGGGGGCTGATGTTCTTTTTTCCCGTGTCCTGTTCCTAGACTTACCGCCTGGCTACACATATCCGGCCATGGGCTACCGGGGTGGCCCCTCCCCCCAGGACGTCCGATTGGCTGAGCCCGCCGACCTGGAGGCGGTGCAGGTTGAGCCGACGGAGCCGGGACCACAATCCCTCCCGTTTGCCCGGGCAGGGCAGGACCTCGACAATGACAGAGAGGAGCACCCCGATAGGACTGCTGAGGAGGAAGAAGGTCCCCGTGGGGGTGTGGAAGGGCGGAGGACGAGGGACGACCTGCAGGGGGAGCTGTTTGTCTGCCCTGTGGCTGAAGTCCCGCCCACCGGGCCCAGTCTTCTGGCCTGTCCTGCAGGGAAGGAGTCCCTGGCAACAGATGCTTGCCAAGAGGAACCGGACATGGTGGGAGCCTCTGAGGATGAATGTCAGGTGGAGGAGGCGCAGGCGCAGGCGCAGGCGCAGGTGGAGACGCAGGTGGAGGCGCAGGTGGAGGAGATCCAGGAGCATGAGGAAGGCCTCTGGGACCAGCATCCGACTGTGGACATTTCCACCGATACCTTCTCCCCTGGCTCAGCGAGGGAAGAGGAGCTGGTGACCTCCGGGGAGGGTATGAGGGGGTCATCGGGGACCCCCCCGGCGAGCCCCGCCCCCAGCGCGGCCTCCTGCCCCACACCCTCTCACGCCGTTGCCCGCTGCATCTGGAGGCTGGAGCTGCTGATCGCCGCCGCCCTCTGCGGTGACCCTACCCCAACCCCAACCGCCCCCCCGCAGCCCCATGGGCTCTTGGCTTGGGCTCCCCACCGCGGCATGGAACTACTGAGCGAGCTGGCCGGCCTGGAGCAGCAGCATCAGCAGGGTGAGCCCCCCCCCCCCAGTCTGCTTATGTACATTATAAACTTATACACGGGGGGGATTCTTGGATTTTTAACAGTGAGGGGCATAAGAGGGGCCATAAGTCATACAGAGGGCACCTTATCATTAGCCAATGACATGTTTTGAATCAGGAAGGGGCACTCTGAGGGCCAATCAGCTTTGGCCCCGCCCCCATAGGCAACCTTGCTTATACACACACAGTCATATATACACACACACACACACACACACACACACACGCACCCTAATGCTCTCTGGCCACCATCTGACAAACACAGAGAACTTCATCTCACACCCACGCTGCATATTCCAGAACTTTCCAGAGCCTGGGGTGCGGACTCCCCCACACTTTGCAGTCGGCTTCCATAAAGACTCCAGCGTATAATCTTTCACATCCTGAATACCAAAAATAAGTCGATAAGTAAGTCACTTAAAACACATCAGGCATTTCTCACCAAGGACCAGAGCTGGAAAGTCAGTGTGATTTCAGACGTAGTTCGAACTCTGTAATTAGGCCCCATTGTCTTCAAAGTCTGCTGAAGGTGTGTCTCTTTCTCCCTGTTTCTGTGGGGTGGGGCGTTTCTGTCCCTCAGGCCCCCGTAGGCGTCTGTGCCGGTGCCTTTCAGGAAGATGAGACGCCTTGTTGTTAAGGAAAGAAAAAAAATAAAAGTAAACAAGTAAGAGTGGCAGCTTAAGGAGCAGCAGCGCGAGGCTCACGCTGTGACTCAGTGCCGCTTAACATCCCGCCGAAACAGGACTCGGGGTTTGACCCATGCAGACACTGCAGCCTTTCTGAGTGTCTGTCCTCACCTATTTATTTCACAGGAGTACATCAGGTTAAGTCCCTTTCACATAACATCAGCAGGGTCTATCTTCATGGTACTTAAAACATCAGCTTTGAGGGTGCAGTGAAGGATGTGTGTTTGTGACTAAACACTGCTGTGCTTTTGTGTCGGGGGCTGATATGTGTCTGGTTAAGGCATCCAGCTGTCTGCAACTATGACCACCAGCTGCAGATGCGTAATGCAGTGAGGTATGATCCAGTCGTTGGTGTGATCTAGTCATTGGTATGATCCAGCCATTGGTGTGATCTAGTCATTGGTGTGATCCAGCCATTGGTGTGATCTAGTCATTGGTGTGATCCAGCCGTTAGTGTGATCTAGTCATTGGTGTGATCCAGCCGTTAGTTTGATCTAGCCGTTGGTGTGATCCAGCCGTTGGTGTGATCCAGTCGTTGGTGTGATCCAGTCGTTGGTGTGATCCAGCCGTTGGTGTGATCCAGCCGTTAGTGTGATCCAGACACGCTTGGTTAGGATGTGGCCATAGGTGGATTCTCATTCCTCGGGCATCTTTGGAGTCACTCCCCCCTTCTTAGTGAGGCTCCTTGGCCCCCCTCCCCTAACCCTACCTCACTGGGACGGCGTGCGGCTGATTGTATTGATTTGAGGGCCAGCCACAATAGCTCATGGGAAGGTGATGTCATCCAGGTGCCAGAACCCGACCCTGGACAGGATCTGACATCACGGGTGTGTTAATTCAGGGACTGACATCATCTGACCTCTTGCATCAAGGGCAGGGACAGGCCGCCTCTTAATAACCCCCCCCCCCTCCAGACATTCCTCACCCCTCCCACTCCCTGCCTCACTGTGCAATCCCAAGCCTATTACAGTTTTAGTGTCTTGATCACCATTTTGCTCTCAGGATGGACCCCCACCTGTCCAGCAACCCCCCCCACACTCGTTTGCTGTTAGAGTCAGAAATATCTCACGAGCAGTAAGGTCAGCAGAGGGTCCTCGTGGCTGTGTGTGAAAACCACAGTGCTCAGCCCCCCCCAGCCCCCCCCAGGATGCCTCTCTCCCTCCCCCTCTTTCTCTCCATTTTTTACTTTTTTCCTTCGTACCGCCTCCCCCAGCAAAGGGGGCATTTCTGGGAATGAAATGGGAACTTGCCAAACCCTGTTATTGCTCCCCGTGCCCCCCCTCCCCGTGCCCCCCTCCCTGTGCCGCCGTGCCGCCCTCCTACACCAGCGTACGTGGCTCCTTTGCCATCTCCATGGCGTCGCCGTGGTCGCTGCCCCCCCTCCTCGATATGTAGATCACCTGGCCTCAGCCTTAATGACACTGACGAAATTCAGATTAGCCCCCCCCGACCCCGAGTGCTGTGGGTGCCCCCCTGACTTGACGCGATGTGACACATTCATGTCTGCTTCAACGCACTGCCCTGGCTGCGCAGATGTGGACACAGGGTGTGTGACTGCGTGGCTGAGTGACACAAACGCAACCATGCCCAGAGGGATGAGCAGACATAGCTCTGTCCCGCCGCCCATCTCTGCAGCCTCTGGGGGGCAGTGTGGGAGGGGCGGCTTATGGTATGCCAGCTCAGTGTTGACTCTGATAATTAAAAGCAAACATCACCTCTGCTGCGCAGGCGAGGAGCTGCTGACCTTTGACCTCCAAAGCCTGGCCACCCTGGCGGCTGCTCGAGCCCTGGAGCTGGATGCTGGGGGCCACGTGGGGCCCAGAGCCGAGGCTGGGGCTGGGAGGCCTGGCTCCCTGCGGAGGACCCTCAACCTGCGCAGAAAGTGCAGCTGGACTCCCCGACACGAGCCGGTATGTGTGTGCCTGTGTCTCTCACTGTGTGTGTGTGTGTGTGTGTGTGTGTGTGTGTTCCTCGCTCTACTGCTGAGGAACTGAACCATAACCCCCCTGGCCACTGGTGTGCCCGACGAAGATCGCCATGGAGACGCTGGATGGGCAGGAGCTGGCCATGCGGGTTCGGCTGGCTGCCCTGCAGAGGCGCTACAAGGAGAAGCAGAAGGAGCTGGCAAAGCTTCAGAGGAAGCAGGACCACCAGTGAGTCACACGCCACGCACACGTAACACACACGCCAAACGCACACCACACGCCATGCACACGTCACACGCACACCACGTACACACCATGCACATGTAACACACACACCACACGCCATGCACACGTCACACGCACACCATATACAGGCCATGCCACCAAAGCACAGTCCTGCCTTATGCTGTGGCCACCAGCACAGCCAGTCCTCCCAGCAAGTAGCCTTGACCCTCCACCATGCACCATAGCTGACACAGTGCTCCCCGCCCCCCCAGGAAAGAGGAGACTTCTCGAAGCCCAGCTCGCCGCGGACCAGGCCGTCCCCGGAAGCGAAAATCCACCCCCAGTGCTGGTCCCCCCGTCCCCACAGAGGCCCCCAAGAGAGCCAGGTGAGCAGCCAATGAGCAGAGGGAACACTAGGGGGCGCCACCTCACTCTGTTTCCATGCTTCAGAGACTGTGTGTGTGTGTGTGTGTGTCTGTGTGTGAGCCTAGGTGAGCCAAACCCCCACCAGTGCTTACTCAAACTGCTGGCCACTTTGCATGAAGTGCCCATGAGGTCAGAGGTTAACTGAGCGGGGCGGGGGGGTGGGGGGGGGGAGGCGTCTGGTTAGTTACACCAGCAACCAGAGCAAACAGATCGGCATGAAGACAAATTACAGGCATCTGCCAGATGTTGTTTTAACGAAGTGGCTGCAATTAGCAGCACATGATGAACACACTGTTGTGAACGAGGCCTCCTTGAAGCATGTGTGTGTGTGTGTGTGTGTGTGTGTGTGTGTGTGTGTGTGTGCCAGAGCATGCACATGTGAGATACCTATCGACTCTGCCAGGATGACGGTGGAAATCTCACATTAGCTCAAACGAGGGAATTCGAGAGCTTAATCTGAGCAGCGAGCCAGAGCGATTAATCACAGACCATCGATCACCCCGGGGGACGGAGGTGGGGGGAGGAGGGGCGTCATCACAGTCAGTCTGTTCGCCTGACCTCCGGATCCTTGCTGTTTGCGACCTGCTTACCCGTGTGCTGGCGGTCAGCTGACTGCAGGAGCAACAGCCAAGCTTCCGTCACGCCGCAGCGTTTCCATGGAGACAGGGCCCGCGTCCTTCTTCCGTTTATTTGGCTGGCGTTCCTTTCCTCCATATCTGCTGCTGGGGGGTGTCCTTTGGGATCATCACGGCAATGCAGCGGTTTGTGGGACGGGGGTTGGGGGAACACGGAGCGATGATGTGGGGGGAGAGGGTGGTCTGGATGGGGTTAAAGGTCACACCTGGCTGGAGACTGAAGAGTTTGGGGGTCCGGAGGGCATGGGGGGTGGGGCTTGGGGTCCGAGTGCCGTTTAAATGAGATGGGGGGGGGGGTCTCCGCACGTGTGACATGACAAGGAGCAGGCCTGCTGGGAAGAGACCCCCACTGGGGTTGAGTGGACATCAGATTGGGATCCAGTACAGTCTGACAGTCCCACTGGGGGGAGGGATCGTGGATATGCCATGCTGCTGTGGAGCTGACTGGCCAGTAATCCAGTGGGGGGGGGGGGGAGGTACTGACTGGGCAGGAAACATAATCAGAGGGCTGCGAATTCTCAGAATCTCCCCACTATCCGCCGTACTGCACGACCCCTCCACAGGTACTGGGGGTGCAAGTATGTGACAAGGAGCGAAGAGGAAGCAGGAGGTCCTTCTCAGAGGGCATGGGGGGGGGCAGACGGCGGCATTAATGAGGCAGACCAGGGCCCACCGTATCGGGTTACACTGGGCCCTTCCTTACTGAGGCAGGATCGCGGTCACTGCGGATGTAGTTGGGGGGGGGGCAAGATGAGGCTCCTCCAGGGCACAAGGCTCCGGGTTCAAGCCCGTATTTATACCTCGGCAGGGGGTGCTGCCCTAAGCGTCCATGCCGGAAGGACAGCGGGTCTGGGACTGGGTTCACACTTCTGCTGGCTGCTGATTCGGATCAGAACAAACACCCCCAGCACAGGGAAGATTCTGGAAGCTCTTACCTTACTGACAACTGTGTGTGTCTGTGACCTAGACGGCTGTTCTTTCTGAAGAACCCAGAACCTGGTATCAGTCTCCTCTCTGGGGGGGGGGGGGGGTGTATCTGTGCGTCTGTGTCTATCTGTGTGTATATAAATATGCATTTATGCGCAGGTCTGTGTGTGGGTGTGCAAAGGATAACTTTTGGGGGGAGGGGGGCAGCGAAGTGGGAATTTGGGGAAGCGAAACGCAGATCAGGGCCTGGGGTAAGTTTTGTTTGCATGAAGGGCAGCAGGCTGTGTGGGGGGGCGGGGGGGCGGAGCTGAGCGGAGCCGTCCCGTCACTCGATAGAGGTTAGTGTTTATTGATCCGGCGTTGAAGCTCAGGTCAGTGGACAGCCTCCCGCGGGACCCCCCCCCCATCTGTCTCTGCCCCCCCCCCCGAGTCTAAGCGCCCTACAGCAATTCTTCTGTATTTTTATTCCTCTAAAACGGACCTGCCCGCCCCTGGTCCACTGCACCCCCTCCACACAGGCCACTATTATTCTCCGCTCCTATCCCTCCTGCTTTCACTGCTGCTACACTCCTGGGGGGGTAGGGGGCATGTGTGTCTGAGGACACGGGTGTCATCTCCACTGCCCCTGTGTGTGTGTGTGTGTGCGTGTGTGTGTGTGTGTGTGTGTCTGTGTGTGTGTGTGTCTGTGTGTGTGTGTCTGTGTGTGTGTGTGTCTGTGTGTGTGTGTGTGTGTGCGTGTGTGTGTGTGTCTGTGTGTGTGTGTACTCAGATCAACATCCCCCCTGCTTCTATGACCCCCCCATCTCATAGTCACGTCAGAAATCGGGCCCTGCCCAGACCGGGGGCAATGAGTTTGAGGGCAGGCATACTGCCAGGCGGTCACCCCCCTAGGACAGCACAGACAGCCTCCACACACACGCCCCCCAGAACGGTGATGCCCTGGGATGGCGGCGCCCCCGTTAAAGGGCAGGCAGCCAGGACTAAGACAGCTGACGGAAAATAGGGCAGACTGGGGGGGCCAAGGTGGTTGGGAGGGTTTCTTTTGTTGTGTTTGTGGGTGGGGGTGCAGATAGATGGAGGGGGGGCAGAGCCCAGGGAGACACGTGTGTTTCAGGGTGGGATGCAGGGGGTCATTGGGGCTAATGAATACAGCCTCTCAATATTTCACCCCCCCCCCCCCACTGCCTGTCTGGTGACAGAAGGGGGAGGAGGGTGGAGCAAGTGCTCAGTGGGCATTGGGGGGGGGCACACTCGTCTCAGCAGTACCCCGCTAATCACAGTCCTGTTCAATTAGCCACTGCGCAATCACCTCCCCCTCCCCGCCCCCCACCGGCGACTGGGTGGCGTTAACCCAGCAGGGAGAAGATCCTGTCACACTGCCGTCTGTCAGCCCACACTGAAGGCGCCCCCCCAGTCAATCAAAGCTCCATGACTGACAGCTCAGCCCATCTACTAGCCCCCAGGGGGGAAACGGGACCAGCGAGACGCTTGGCAAGAAGGGAAGTGTGGGGGGAGGACCCCCCCCCCCCCATAGCCAAGGAGAGCTCAATATTAGATTCATTCAGAAAGCTGCAGGGGCCAACCAGCCAGTTATACTGTAGGAGAGCGAGAGAGACAGGGGGAGAGAGAGAGAGAGAGAGAGAGGGAGAGAGATGGGGAGGAAAAGAGAGATGGGAGAGAGTCAGGGAAGAGAAAGAGAGAGAGGGAGAAAGAGGGATAGAGACAGAGAGATGGGGAGGGAGAGAGATACAGAGAGAGAAAGGGGGGAGAGAGATGGAGAGAGACAGGGAGAGAAAGATAGGACAGAGAAAGGGAGACAGGATGAAAGAGTGGAGGGAGAGGTGGGGAGAAAGAAAGAGAGAAGAGGGGTTGAGAGGATACAAAGGTGCATGGAGAGAGAGAGTGGGAGGATGAAGAGAGATGGAGAAGGAGAGAGAAGCAGACGGGTGAACGAGGGAAAGCGGTACAGTGATATGGAAATGCAGTGGGGGGCTTTAATGCAGTGGGGGGCGGGGGAGGCGTGCTTCACAGCCGTCGGGCGTAAATGGTGCGCGGAGTGGCTGGAGCCGCACGCGGGGGCTGGCAGAGACAGCCTCCCCGCGGTATTTCAGGGTTTGCTGTTAGATCCCACGGCCTGGGGGGGGGCGGGGGTAGGGGTGGGGTGGCGCTTTTCCATTCATCAAAGGATGAAGGGGGTGTTATTAGAAGGCACGGTGCGCTGACTCGCCCCTGCGCTCGTCCCTCTGATCTCTCCTTTCTTCCTCTTCTCCCTGTCGTCCTCTTTCTCTCCTAATGAATGCCCCTTTCTGACTGATTGGCAGCTCTCTGGGGGCGGGGTTCGGCTCGGCCGGCGACGACACCCAGGGGGGCAGCGACTCACAGAGGAAGAGGACCAAGCTGTCCAGCCGTGCTTTCGCCCACCTGGGGGGGACACAGGTCAGTGGCCGGGGGAGGGGGGTTATACGTCTAATGAAGTGATTGTCATTTGGGCCCTTTGTATGCGGGTTGCAGACAATGGGAGATGGGGGGGGGGGGTGGTTGAATTAAATGGCTGCTGGTTCGAGTCGCAGGAGGGCCCTGCTGGGCGTCTTTCTGTCAAGCACTATACACTGATCCTGCCCTAAACACTGATCCTGCCCTATGCACTGATCCTGCCCTAAACACTGATCCTGCCCTATGCACTGATCCTGCCCTAAACACTGATCCTGCCCTAAACACTGATCTTGCCCTATGCACTGATCCTGCCCTAAACACTGATCCCACTCTATGTACTGATCCTGCGCTGATGCTGCCCTATGCACTGATCCTGCCCTAAACACTGATCCCGCTCTATGTACTGATCCTGCGCTGATCCTGCCCTATGCACTGATTCTGCACTAAACACTGATCCTGCCCTGTGCACTGATTATGCCTTAAGCATTGATCCTGCCCGATTCACTGCTTCTGCCCTTCGCATGTCATTTATGGCAGGACACACAGTCCCTTAAACGTGCTTCTGCTTTATTTCGATCGTCAAACCATCAACCAGGTGTCATTATGAAAAGCTTTAGCTCCTCTTCCTCCTCAGATGAAGGAGGGGAGGTCAAGACCTGGGATCCAGCGAGGGGTGCTGAGCTCCAAACTTGCACGCAAGGTGTCACAGCTAACACGGAAGGCCCAGACCAAGCAGCACCCCCTCACGGGGGCCCACGGCCGGGCCCCACAGCCAATGAGGGCCAGTGATTCTGGTGGCCAGAGCGACACAGGTGGGTGTGGATCATTCAGACAGGGAGATTCCGTCACACAGGACCACAGCAGGAAAGTGTCCAGTTTGAACTCCTGCTACCCCCCAACAGCCAGCGGAGATGGGGGAGTGACTCAGGAGGGTAGGAGGGGGGGGGATGCACAGATGAAGAGCCCCCTCCACTTGCAGGCCACTAGCCGTTCAGGGAACGAGCAGCTGCGCACACGGCAAGTGATGGAGGAGAAGGACACGTCACCCACGGACAGCGAGTCCTCGGAGCAGGGTGAGTCCAGTGGGGGGCACCGTTTGGGGTCCAGGGACACCTTCTGCTGAGTTCTCTGAGAATAACGGACCTTCTAGTAATGGGAGAGCACAGGAGAGGAGGCCATTTTCCCATCGGTGACATTCCAGAGTAACTGGAATAATGTTTAAATGTAAGGGACAGTTAATGTGGGCAAAGGTTAGGGGCACGACCAGGTCGCATCTCTTTCAGTGATTTGTTGATTGCCCTGAAAGTTATCCTGTTTGTTTCCAGTGGGCTGATGACGCCTGCCAATGACACTCGAGGGGTGGGGCTCTGGGGGGGGAGGGCTTTAGATGGGTGGGGCTTTAGAGGGGCGGGGCTTTGGGATGCGACCAGGCAGGAGTCGGGTCCAGTGTTGACACTCCATTCCACCACAAAGGCCAGATCTGTCTGGCCTGAACTTAAGTTTCCTCTTATGTTGAAATCTCTGATCTGGCCCCATCTGCAGACGAGGAAGATGAAGGCAGTTACGACAGTGAGGAAGGACAAAATGGCATCAAAGCTCCTTCCTCCAAGGAGCCTTCTCCGTGTACAGCCACCACTGGTCCCTCTCCATCTTCTGTGGTGAAACTGGAGGCCAATCAAAAGGCCAAGAATAAGAAGGAAAGACAGGGAATGCTGGGTAAAAATGTGTCCGCCCTAATTACTGATTAGAGCGCATGAACAAGCCTGTTATTCGTTGTTCCTTTGAGTGGCAGGCAGTCAAACTGTTATGACTGCGGCTTCCAGGCACACCGACCACGCACGGCTCAGCGGGAGAGGTGAAAGTGAGGAAGAGGGCCCCCTGCAGGCCCGGTCCTGCCATTGCAGCAAAGAGACACCCTGAGCTCTCGCCGCAGGAGGGGTCAAAGCTGGCACGCGGCTCCCGGGTACCGCCACACCAGCAGGAGGCACTGAAGTTGGGGATGGGGGCCAGGGCTGGGTCCTGCGGGCGGGGCAGCGGCTTTCGTGCCCTGGGTTTGGCCGGTGAAAGGTTGAAAAACACCACTTGCAGGACCGCCGGGCTGCAGGCCTCTATGAGCAAGGTGAGCACGGCCTGGACGCTCAGGGAACTGCAGTATTTCGTTCATCTTTTTCCGGCATAATAGAAGCATGACAGCTCAGCCCCTCCTGGATTTCGAGGAAGGAATGAGGGCAAAAGGCTCTCATTACTCACAGGAAAAATTCACACTGTCATTCATATAATAACGGGCTTGATTAGCATAGATGGAGAGACTTGCTGGTGGAACCTCTGTTTAGTCAAGCTTATTTAAATGCTTTGTTTACCCTGATGGATAGTAAAGTGTGTAAGAGCGAAGTGTCTGCAGCAGGGACAGGGTGAGCAGAGGTGGGGTGTGGGGGCGCTCGGCCTTGTCGGGAAGTTGGTCTCAGCATGGTTGTGATCTCTGCCCCCTGCAGAGGATGGGCAGCTGGCCAGGCCTGGGCGCGGCCCCCAAGGGAAAGGAGCGAGGCAGGGGCAGGCCACGTAGGAACAAGCAGGTGAGCAGGGAGCGCTTGGGGTGGATGTGGGGAGGGGTGATGATTGAGGAGAGCTTGCATTGCCGTCCCGGCTGTGCCGATCCTGTAGAGACTCATATAGGCAGATTACATAACACGGGTAATATGTCAAATGTAAACACTTGCAAATCATCCCAGATAAGATAAGGATGTTGGGGTGGCGGGGGGGGGGGGGGGGGGGATGCATTGTTAAAGTGGAAGTAAGAGGCGGTGAGACGTTCCGAGCAGTAAATCAGCCGCTTCTGCCCCAAGTCATCCCGAAAGTATGCGAGACAGACCATTTACGGCTGGCTCAGGGGGCATCGCTGCTCTGCAGCAGGAAACTGGGGCAGAACTGGGATCTCCACCCACACCAGTATCCCCCGGGGCACTATAATCAAATGGGCTTTTCTTCTATGGACCTCAGAGGACAATTCTGAAACTCAAGTACACAGACAAATAGACTGTTTCACAAAGAGCTACTGGCTGCCTCAGAATCTGCCCAAAGTGGACTAGGCCGCTACTGGGCACGATCCGCGAGGCGGGAAGCTGCGCGTGTCACATGATTTTCACGTCTTCTTGTCCCCTTCTGCCCAGTCCAAGGCCCATGGCGGAAGCCGGCTGCTGGAGAAACTGGCAGCGGATGAGGGCTTCCAGATGAACGAGGACAGCAGCTTCTCGGACGGGGACGAGGACGAGGATGGTGGCGATGGGGAAAACATGCTGCAGTCGCACAGAGCGCCCCCCGCAGGTAGGAGTGAAGATTATCTATGCATACAAGTTGGTCTTCCTATCTAAATGGGGACCGCCCATTCATTTCTATGGGAAAAACCCTAATCCCCATCACGACACCCGTAACCCCTACCCATCCCTAACCTTAACCATAAGTAACCAACCCAAATACAAGACTTTTGGCATTTTTACTTTTTAAATTGCATTCACAGATTTTTATAAAACTGAGGTCATCCAGATGGGGACCTCAAAATTAGGGAAATTTCAGGTTTTACTACACTTTGGGGACAATTTGGTCCTTATATGTGATCTATGCAAACCCACACACACACACACACACCCACACACACACACACACACACACACACTGTACCATTCTGGCTAACAAATGGGATCGAGCCAAAGCATATTATAGGTGTATAAGTCTCCTTCCTGTGCTGCCTTCATGTTAGCCCCCCTTGGCCCCCCTTGGCCCCCCTTGGCCCCCCTTGGAGCATTATGCTGGGGACACAAGGGCCCAGTACAGGCCTGGCAGTGTAGAGTGGTGGGGGTTGCATGTGTGCTGTGAGGCCTCGGTCCTGCTACTGTCTGATACCACTGCGTGCCCCCCCCCCCCATAGCCCTCCCGAATTGTGTGCTGACCAAGGAGCTGCTGGTGGACGGCCTGAAGGTGCTCATTTCCAAAGAGGACGAGCTGCTCTACGCAGCGTACGTGCACACGCTGGAGGTGCCCGGCATGTAAGCTCCGCCCCTCCACCATGACTCCGCCCTCCCTGCCTCTTATTGGTTGACTGATCCCACCACCCCCTCACCTGAGATCTCTGGGGCTCTGTGACCCAAACTGGAATAGCCGACCTGAATTCCAGCTTAAAGGCGCTGCGGGGATGGGGGGGGTGGTTAAACAGCTGACGCTCTTGCGCATGGCGCCCCCCCCCTCCCCAGCACTGAGCATTCCCCCCATTTCCACACTTCAAAGTACAGGTTATGGACATCCCAGCCAACCCCTTCAGGAATAACCGCAAGTGAGATGACCCATAAAAAGGGGGCCCCCTCTCACCCCTCCCTCTCACTGCCCCCCCATCTACTCCTTCAGCTACAGTGTTGTCATCGACGGAGAGCGGGGACACCGGCCCAGGATCTACTCCCTGGAGCAGCTGCTTCAGGAAGCCGTGAGTTATTCTCCCCCCTCCACATCCCGCCTCCCCCCACCCCACAGTCACCATCCTCCCCATACCATCGTAGCCTCTTCTCCCAAACCCACAGCCTCCATAGACTCCCCCCAGAGGGAAGCATTGTCAGGAAGGGCCAGTGAGGGCGTGGGGTGGGGGGGGGGCGGACACAGCCCAATTCCCCAACAATCTGCTCAAGTCATTAAAGGCCGAACATCTGTGTCCGGCAGGGATGTGTGTGTGTTCTTTATTACTGTGTTTTTAATCCCATTCCGGGTGACTGTAGGTAGAACAACTTACAAACATCTGCGGTAGATGATATGATTTTGTTGAGGGGGGGGGGGGGGGGGGGGGAGAGGTCTATGACATTCGGGCTAAGAGGGGGCAGGATATTTTTGTTTTCATGGGAAAACCCCGATCCTGCCTCCTGTTGCCGTCAACACTCCCCCCTTCCTAGGGCGTGCCTTGACCCCACATGGCCGGCAGATTGGGCTCAATATGCCCCCCCACCCCCGGCAGTCACACGCATCCATGTTCAGCCCCAGCTAGCAGAGAGCAGCCAGTCAGGGGGGGGAATCTTGCTTGTTTTGTCTCTGGGTTCTATCAGTCGTGATTGTTCCCAGTTGGTTTAGCTGCAGCGCCTGGGGGGGCTGGGGGCCTTTTTTATGCAGCATACTTCTTCATTGAACTCCAGGTTATGCTAACATGCTTAGTTTGTCTAAGCCAATGGGGGAGACGGGGCTAATTACACGCCGTAAACCCACAATGCTTTGTCAGCCTTGCAATACATTACCTGAGCTGATATATTTGACTTTTTTTCTGCCTTCGGTGAATAACAAGGCCGAGTTCCTCGGAGGCGGCACTTCCGTCCCGCCATTGTGGGGCTGCTGGACGGGCGCCACATCCAGCACTATGTCATTTCCAGCACTGTGACCCTCAGGGCTCGGGGGGGAATTATGGGAGTATCTTGAGGCAGGGGAATGAGGCGAGGTGGGGGCAGGGGGTTCCGGGAGGATCTAGATCTAAAAAGGGGGAGGGAACAAAAAAGAAAAAAATAAGACAAAAAACGGCGAGACGGAGTGGCACGCGGTGTTGTTGTTTTGCAGCGACGGCAAACAGATACGAGCCCCGGCGCGGGGCGGCGTGGGGTGGCGCGGGGCGGCGTGCCAGCGGGATTAGGCGGCGCAGCTGTCTGTGCTCCTGCGATTAGTCCCTGTGTCGCCTGCCAAACCCCCTCCCACCACCCATTGTAGCGAATGGGCCAGTCTCTCTGAGTAAACACGGCTTTGATGCACCCCCGTGCCATCAATCTCCCCCCCCCCAGTTCTCCGCCAGCACCACCCTTTGCCCAGCACACCCCAGTGGTGGGGAGCTGGCTGCCCCTTTTTTTGTGGGGGTCACGTTTTGGCATTGTTGCCGCCTGCGATCTGATCCGCCTTTATCTGCGTGAGTCAGCCAGTGCTTCCGGATGCAGCAGCGTAATTAAAAGGGAAACGACGGAGCGAGAGAAGGAGATAGAGGGAGAGAGAAAGAGATTCACAAAAGCCAAGAAATGACAGAGAGAGGCAGACAGAGACAGAGAGAGATTCACACAACCTAAGACATCCATGGCAAATAAAGGCTTTAGGTTTTACTTTTTCCTGTTTCCCATCTCATTCACTCTTCCTTCACGGCTCCCTCCATCTTTTGTGCTCTGCCTTTTTTCCCTCAGGATTTTGTTTCTGTTTTTCCGGTTCTTGCGCTCAGAGACGAGCACGCAGACACGCACTCACACGCCTGTCTGTAGACACATACCCAGTTATGACCATCGCCTCGTCTTGTCTTGAGATCCATTGACAGCCAGAGTGGAATTCCTGGTGTGTGAACATATGGGGCCAATCAACCCCATTCTGGATCTGAAGCAGACTCATGTGTTCCTGTCCTGGGTCAGATCTACCTTTTCAGGGGCCCTTGGCAAAGCTTTACTCCCCCCCCCCCCCACAATGAAACTGACCATTTGACTTCCTGCACAACACAGGTTTTTTAGGAGTGATTGGCAGCTACCTATTCTGCCTATAGCTACAGCCAGCCATATATATATATTATTATATATTTTTTTATTTTCATGACTACGTCTCGGTTCCCTTGTGCTGATTGGACCCTAGGCAGCTGGCTAGTTTGCCTGTGTCTGGACCTGGAAGTGGCCTCACACATGCACTAACCTTACACAGCACCGAGAAACAATCGCAGAATATCGTCAGGCTACTAACCTCTTTACTTTGGACGCCGCAGTGGTCAGGCAGGGGCCTTTTCTAGTTTAGCTTGTCATTTTCTCCCTTTCAATGATCTAACTGCCTCCCAGGCTTCAGGAGTAATACCTGTATATCCTGGCTAAGAGATTGAGCCCCCCCCCCCCTCAAGCCTTCATTGAGCATGGGGAGTCAGACCCACCCAAAACCGCGAAGCTGGCCAGCCACTATTAAACAGTCGCCTCTGTTTCTCTTTCGTTCTCCATTTTGCTTTTCTTTGAACGGGTTACTCAGCACGTCTTGAATTACCAATCATGAATTCCAGCCCTTTCAAGGAGGGCCGAGGCTAGAGAATTGGCCCAAGATTAAATATGACTTCCGCTCTGGTTACTGCATTGACGAAGCTAGATGTGTGTGTGCGCTTGCGAGAGTCTGGGTCAGCGTTTGAGTACAAGCCGTCCTGTAACTTAAATGAGCCGTCGTTTGAATACATCCTACTTCTTCCGCTCTCCAGATCCGCATCAGCCTTGAAAACAGAGGCTTGCTCTCTCCCTGTCTGGCTCCCTTGGTGTTAAACGCAGCTGCGGTCATAACTCGGAATCCGATTCGGGATTCACTCCCAAGCAGCTACAGAGGAGGCTTTGTGTTGGTGCCCTCACATCCACATCATTTTGTGGTCATTCTTGCCTCATTTTCTAGGGTTTCCTCTACTTGGATGTAGCCCCTGGTTTCATCCTGTTCGACTCTTTCCCTAAGCGATTCCCAGCACTGGGACTGATAAGCACCCATCTCCGTGTCTGTCAGGTGCTGGAGGTGCGCCCAGAAACAGGCTCCAGGCTGACGACGGGGACGCGGGTGTGCGCATACTGGAGCGAGCGCTCACGGTGCTTGTACCCAGGATACGTGCAACAAGGTGAGGGAGACAGAAAGGTGTGCGCTTGGGTGCTTGTGAGTCTTTGACCTCATGTCCACCCTCATGTTTGGTTTTGAATAATTCGATTGCAGGGGGTCCTGGGGAGGAGCAGAAGGAAGGCAGCGTCATGGTGGAGTTTGACGATGGGGATAGAGGGTGGATCTCCTTGTCTAATGTCCGCTTCCTTCCACCTGATTACCAGATCCACTGTAAGTTGATTAATAACCAATTGGGTGAAAACCCAAAGAAAGAAAATGTTCTGATTCAATTCCCCCCCCACCCCGCCCCCATCCTCACTCAAATACTTTCCTGTGTGTTCAGGTGCAGAGCCACCTCCTACGCTCCTGGCCTCACAAAGTCGCAGAGGTCGCCGGAGCATGGTCCTGGGGAAGAATACACCGTCCAATATCTCCTCTGACCAACTGGACAACGCGGTGGCTGCAAGCGCACAGGACATGAAGAACCCCAGTAAGACCAAGCCAGGTAATCAGACCTGCACCACGCTTCATATGGAAAAATACCTCCGGTCAGCGCATGCATTTGAATAGCTTAGCGGGAATATTTATCCAAGGAGATTTACCGAGTTTATCTCTCTGTACGGCTTAATATCTTGCTGAAGATCAAGCTATTTGTTCTTCAAATATGCTACAGAAAGAGGACCTCTTTGGGCTTGACTACTTTGCTATCTACTGTCCCTGTCAAAATCACTGACGGAACCTACTAGTTTCTCGGTTGTTCCACTTCTTGTAATGACTGGAGGACAGACCTGTAGCAAATCTGCAAACAAGGCTGCAGGGAATGTAATGCTGCATCTCGCTTATTCATCATGGGAGGTTGCTACAGCCATTGGGCTGCAGTGTCAGTTTCCTGCAACTGAAATGGATATGTGGTTCATTTCTGTCTCCCCTTCCCTCCAGGCAAACCAAAAAGTGTCAACTCAGGAACAAAGAGTCCCACGTCGGACAGTGCGAAAGAGAGCAGTACCCCCCTTCTCACCTGGCCGGCGATCGCTGTCCCCAGAAAAAAGCCCTCCCACAACTTCTTCCAGTTCAATGGCACCCCTAGGAAAACAACTAAAGGGAAGGATATGTTCCCCCTCCTCATGGGTTCGACTTCAACCCCAGCCAAAGGCATCTTCAGAAGCACCTTTGAGGTGGATTCCTTCAGCAGCATTGCTAATGGCTGCTCCTCCTTTGGCAGCCAGTCAGCCATTGTGCCTCTTGGCCCTAAGAATACTGCCTGCAGTCGGAGCAGGAGACCAGGAGAAGTCAGCACTCTTCGGAGTAAAAAGGCTGGTTCAGAATTCCTGGTGAAGCTGGATCATGAGGGTGTGACATCACCCAAGACCAAAAACAGCAAAGCCTTACTGTTGCTTGGCTCCTCATATCAGGGTAGCAGGATGGACAAGGGATTTGGGACTAAAGGCTTAGGGGACATGTCTTCGCCGATGGGACACTCACACCCAGTGCTGCTCGTCAAGGACAACAAGAAGGGTGGAAGCGCCCGTGCCGAGCTGCTGAAGAAGGGGGCCTCTCACCTGCGGAAGCCATCTCCTGCCCTAGCAATGGGCAGCTACTCAGACTTTGCCATAAACTGCCTCACTGACTGCCACGGTTTCTACTCTGACATGGACGAGGAGGACGAGGAGGAAGATGAGGAGGGCAGAGCAGAGCTGGCTGCAGCCTCAGGCGGCCTGAGGACAGCGGGACGCTTCCTCTCTCGCCTCTCTGTGTCTTCCTCCTCTTCTGGGTCCTCCAGCTCATCCAGCTCTGGCTCCTTGTCCAGCTCAAGCCTCTGCTCCTCTGACAACGACTCATCCTACAGCTCAGAGGACGAGGAAGGCTCTACCCTGCTACTGCAGGGCTGCCTCTCGTCTCACCGTGCCCTGCTGCCGTCCACGGAGCCTCCGGCGCAGCGGACCTTTGTGGCAAAGGCCATGGCCATAAGCAGTTCCAAGGGAGGAGGGGTCAACAGCAACAGTGCTCACAACAGGCTGGTCAGGAGGAAAGAGTGCATCAGCTCTCCCTCCTCACTCTTACCATCCAAAAGCTCAAAGGAGCTTCCGAGGAGGGACAAGCTACCGTCAGCTAATAGTCCACCCAAGATGGCTCCCTTCCTTCCAGCACGGCAACTATGGCGGTGGTCTGGCAACCCAACCCAGGTGAGATGGCTTCACTGCTCAAGATCACACATTGAAAGTTAGTTTATACTTATGTTCATATGGTGAACCGCTCCCACAGGCTAATGCTGGTTTCTAGTATATAGGAGTAAAATGATGTGTTGTGTTGGGAAGGCTATATCTGCTGGCAATTGGTTTGCTGTAAACCAACCCAAGCACTGAAGGTGTAACTAGTCCTTCTAGACATTCATGCCTGACAAACTAACCAAGATCAACGTATTCAGTACCGTTCTGCATACAAGTATGTAATAGGGCCCAGGAAGTTGAGCGTGTTACTAAGCAAAGGACTTGCTGGAGGCTCTCCGGAATAAGCATGACATTTCTGGCTGCTTCTGTGTCCACAGAGGAGAGGCATGAAGGGCAAAGCACGCAAGCTCTTCTACAAGGCCATCGTGCGCGGCCGCGACATGGTGCGTGTGGGCGACTGTGCCGTGTTCCTGTCCGCCGGCCGGCCCAACCTGCCGTACATTGGCCGCATCGAGAGCTTCTGGGAGTCCTGGACCAGCAGCATGGTGGTGAAGGTCAAGTGGTTCTACCATCCAGAGGAGACCAAGTTGGGCAAAAGGCACAGGGATGGCAAGGTAGAGCTCTCTCTTACACTGCTGCAGACAGGTTTGGCTTTTAGGTTTGGGTTTTAGGTTTTTCAAAGCTAGGATGTTCTTGGATGTTTTACCTCTGTGTTGCTTGTATGAATTCAGAATTTGCATACAACCTGCCTCAAAGTCATCCTTGAAGACTAGAGTATCCTTGTCCCTTGTTTACAGTTGTGTGTCAACATTTTCAAAATATTGGAACCAAGGGCTGGTATTTTAATACTAGCTGGGAGACTCAAAGCCTGTGTTTTATTTAACTATAGTAGCCTCGGGCATTAATCTTATGTTCCTTTCAATCTGTCCCAGCATGCTCTGTACCAGTCCTCCCATGAGGATGAGAACGACGTGCAGACCATCTCCCACAAGTGCCAAGTGGTCAGCCGCGAGGAGTACGAGCAGCTAAGTCGTGGCCGGAAGCTGACCCCCGACAGTCAGGACCTCTACTACCTGGCTGGAAGCTACGACCCCACCAGCGGTCAGCTGGTCACTGCCGAGGGGGTGCCTATCCTGTGCTAGCAGCCCCCGATATTGCTCTCCTGGTGGCACTACTGAAAGACCTCAATCAGAAATGATGGTCGACGAGCTGTGATTTTTTTGCCTGACAGGGGACACTGTGAAGGGCAGGAGTTGTAACCGCAGACATGCAACTGCCCCCTCTGTCAGAACTTCACCCTCTGCTTCCGCTACCCGCTGCTGGCACAGCGATGGAGAGTGGTAGGCTGCTCGGGAAGTGAACCTTGGTCCAGCTGAGGCACGCCCCATGGTGGAGCACGACGGCACTGCAGAAGATGAGGAGCGGGAGTGGGAGAAAACCTCACGCTGTGTTGGTCCTGTGTTGGTCCCCTGAGAAGCCTCTGTCATGAGCTGTTAACTACTGGAGCACGATCAAATGCAACCTCTGCAGGCTAAATAGAGACAAAAAAAGACACAAATGGAGTTTGTAAAAGGAGGTCCTCTTTGACGACTCGGCAGTACGGGTCTGTAGGTGCCCAGAACAACGGAAGGCACGGGTTAAGATGTGGTCCGAACTGGCCGGCTTCGGATCATGGGGGTGCACTGGAATTGTACAACTGGCACGAAGAGAAAGGCCTTGCAGGAGAGCAGGCCTTCAGATGTGTACAGGATACTGTCTAAACCACAATTTGAGTATTTAAAACACCTAGGCAACTCAAGTAGTCATTAAAATAAGTATCCAAATTTCGTCTACTTAAGAATAACTGTCTGAGTAAGCCATACAAATCAGTACCTCTTGCCTATTCGAATTCAGGTGTAAAACTGTACAGATCAATGACTCTTTTCCACATTTTTTATACACATATCTCTGCAAAGAGAGACACTCGCCCCTCCTTTGATGTTTTTCGATCGCGCCTTTTATTTTTCTAATGGTGGAGCGTATCGACTTAAGACCGTCCTGGTGAAGATGAGCAGACGGTGGCAGAGGAGGCTAGCCCTGCCTGTGCCCGGCTGAATCGAGACGGAGCACGGTGCAGAGTGCTGGTGGCAGTTTGGAACGACGACACGGGCATATTCCCCTGGGAAGAGGCTCCGATCAGGAGCGAAGGAGCAGGAGATTGCCTGCCAGCCTGGCTATTTGTCCGCCTCATTACATTTCCTGTTCATTTGTCTTTTTCTTTTGGCAACTATTTATTTTATTTTTTTCAAATCGCTATGCTACTATGAGGAGCAAAAAACTAAGAGACAGCTGCCTTGCCTGTACAAGAAGACAAAGACAAGGAAAATGCAAATCCTGAAACTTCACGAGGACACATTACAAGCGCCAGTGACCGACAAACGAAGCGGCCGGCGATCGTTTGCCGACGAGATGCCGAAAGACGGTCTCTATTGTTACTTACCGACCCTCATAAATGAGGACTAAGAGGGCCAGCCTGGTCTCTGTGGGTGTGCGTGATTTTTCTCTGGTTTTGAAGGTCACTTTGAAACGTCAACACTTTTTTTCTGGCTTCAGAAACCAAAGGACCTGTAAGGTTTTCGTTAAATTATGATAAATTAAGTATATAAAAAATCCAATCAGAGTGTTGTATTTTTGTTAAATCCGGGAGCCTGCAATCAGATTGACGGACCTGATTTATTTATGACTAATTGACAATGTTGATTCTTACTTGTATCGCGGGAGCACTCTCCAGCGTAAGCGTTACATACCCGTAACGTCCCTGTTACGTTGCAGCAACGTTGAGAGAACCCAGCGCGCGTGCGTGTGTTTGCGTGTGTCTGTGTGTGTTTTGCTGTTTTCGCGTCGCAACCGGACCTGCGACTCTGGCACTTGTAGGCCCGTTACGGCCTCCTCTGTGTAACTGTGAAGGACAATCAGACTAGCAGCGATGTGGCGCATTTTCCAAGGGGGCACGCATAATCAAACACGTCATGTATTTGGGTGTTTTTTTTGCCAAAACCATTTTGTCATTCTTTTTGTTGCTGTCATTTAATATGCAAACTTGTAATAAGTTAATTAAGTGTGTGAATGAGTACATGTGGGGGACGGGGAACTGTTGTACATTTTTTTGTATGTTAGTGTTGGTGTTACGAACATTGCAAACCAAATAGCTTTAAAGAGAAATCAGGGGCTACATTAAATGTCGCTTACCTTTTTAACTGCGGTATGACCTAAATGGTTGATGTCCTAAAATAAAACAAATATGTATTTTACGCAAACTTACACTGGATTCATTTCTGAACATTGTTTGATAGCATCAGCAGCGTGCCTTTAGGAGTGTCTGTGATCCCCCCCCCCTCCCCCCACAGGAAGTGACATCATTGTGCAGCCTGATTTTGATACCCACAGGGAAATACTTTACTGGTTTATCAAATTTTGTTGTTTAAGTTTTGTTGTTGTTATTGGATTAGCCATTGCGGTCTGTGTTCCCTCTTGATAAACAGCCATGGTTATTTTCTAACCTTGCTGTGTACTGTAAGCCTACAGGCCATCTTATGCTAAGTGATTTAAAAATTCAGTTTATCTTTTTTTTGTACGTATCAAAAAAAAATCTCCAAGAGTTCTTTGTCTGTCTTAATGTTTTAAGAAGGGCAGCACATTTTTCAACATTTTTTGCCTCCATCTAAAGCTGTCAGTTTTAACATTTTTAAGCTTATTTTTAAAAAAGAAATCTGCTTGTGAAATCTGATGTTGAAAAGCACTAACTGCAAGTAGCAGGTCTGTTTACCGGGGACTCGAGGGACTCCCTCATTCTTTTAGTACAGGTGTCTGAAAGGTTGTCAGTCACTATTATATAATGGCAGCACTAATGATCACTGTCCTCTGTACCATTAAGAGACATTAAGAAACAAATTCAGTTCATACTAAGCCGCAAAGCTGGGTGACCATATTGCCCGTCCTCTCGCTAATACCTCCTGAATCATACTGCTCTTTCTTAATTTGATTAGAATCCATGACAGATCTGTGCTCCTGCTGCCTCTGTTATTCTCAGTGTTCTGCTTTTTTAAAATAGTTATTGGAGGCACAGGGAGATGGGCCCCCCCGGGAAGCCGGCCCGTGACGGCAAAGGCCGGAGGAGCCCCCCGACAGATCCCCTCTGCCGCATGTCTGCGTCAGACGCATGTGTGAATGACACTGGATGAAGGGACACGAATGTACTGAGGACTGAGTGTATAAAAAAAACTCCAATCATGTAGACTGTGACTATTTCTTTCCGGAGCAGAGCACCGGAATCCGTAAAGGGGTGTAACTCCAAGGGGGGGCCTTCACAGACGAGCGCAGTCGTGCAGAAAAAGGGACTTGCCTTCTCCAGTCCTTTTTGAATCAGACCGGTCAAAGTGTAACCCCTTGGTGCATGAAGGTGGTTTTTAACGGGGCACGTGACGATGCGATTGGGCACATTCTCATGAGACAGAAGTGATGTCACTGTGGCAAGATCACACCCCCCCCCCCCCCCCAAAAGACACAGGTGCAATACTATTATAACATATAGAATTGCATTGATATTCAGTCGTTAGGATGCGAGGGCTTAATGCAACTGTGATGAATTACTGAAGGAGATGCAGGAACATCTCTCCTTACATGCCATGTTATTTAAAGTCACTATTGACCGCGCTTAGGAGGGAATAAGTTAAGGGTTAAGGCGTGTACCTAAAAAGCGGTATTTCTCAGAGTTGCTAAATAAATATAAAAATATTTTAACACTGATTGAGATTTTTTTGAGAGATCGATACTGGTATTTTGTAATTTCTTTGTTGTCGTTCCCCCTCGCAAAGGTGTTCCATGTGGTAAAGATGTTGTAAAGGTTCTACAGTGACGGCTCCGTTTCCATTCCACACTTTGGGTCGACGTCAAAATGGAGTTTATGAACTATGTAAAAGCATTTCAGTATTAAGATTTTTATATATGGCTTATGAATAAAGATAAGAAAACCATGGCATTTCTGTCTGTGTGTTTTATCCTGTCACCCCGACCCCCTGCGTGTCTTTGATTATGTCGAATTGTCTGTCACCGTTGATCTGTCTGTCAAACATTCGTTATAAGGTCCATCCCATTAACTCTGAACACCGCGCATGTAATCACCTGAAATGTCTATCCAAAGTGACAATTTCATACTTAAACATTTCTCTATAGCCAGATATTACGTATGGAATCAATTAGTGGTAACAACCTTAATTTAGGGTAGAGGAAACACCACAAGCCTGCTACCAGATGTGCTTTACTAGGCTCTAACGTTACCCTCAGTTCTCTGGGTTGAATGTAGGCTCACGTCAACTGCACTCCATCAATTAAAGTAAACCGGCTAATTAGACTGATCGCACGCCACTCACGGTCATACCGCTACATCCCATTCAGTGGCGCCATAAATAGCTTGCGCCTATCCCGGCAGAGCTGCCAACCCCCAACCCGCCCCCAGGGTCTCCAGACACATAGGCACCAAGGAGTCCGGCTCCTAACCTCCCCCTCCCCTCCAGTCACGCCCCCTGCCTCCAGCGGGTTAGAAGAGCTTCACCGATTCAGCATCTCCTTCACTGGCTCCGCACACTTTGCAGTCCCACATTGCCCGGGTCTCTCACTGGGAGGTACAATGATGGAAACCTGCCATGTCTTTCATACCAATTGTATGCGTATGTGTATAAGGGA